CACAGTGTTTGTTACCATGCCCAAAATTTGGACTCATTCATGAGCTTTCATTGATTTTGTGAATATTTTTTAAGAATTGTTTTCAAAGCATTAAGGTTTGCTATATTGCAAGTTTCTTATCTATTTTATATATATATATATATATATATATATATATATATATATATAAACTAATAGAGATTTCTCAATTTTAAAATTAAATTTAATTGTTAAAGAATTTTATTTATATAAATTTAATCAAATTTAATATGTAATTATGTAATTTAATATTGAATACTATGATACTCATTATTATCTCATTAACATACAAATATAAAAAATATTAGTTACATGTAAATATTCATTTTTTACTCATAGTAAAATTTATTTGCGAATACCTACGAGTAAGAATTTGTTTTTTTAATGTGCGTACTTCTAACATTATCTACATTCCAATGACGTAACATTGATATGTTTGGACTCTACCCATGGCATATGGTCTCTACACTTGCCTAAACTTTGGATTTTAGGTTGTATACTAAAAACTATTTTAGTCCTATAATAGCACATTTTATGTTTTAATTATTGTTGCAACTATCAATAACTCTATTAGTTGTTGAACGTTCTGATAGTTCCTTTTGCAACACTGTTGTTGAAGATAATATTTGGAAGCAAAACCGTTCTCCCTTCTCCCTATTCCCTTTTTTTTTTGTTCTCCCCTTCTTTTCTCTCCATAGAAACCAATGAACCTACAACCTAAACATTTGATTCATTGTTTTATGCCGATGAGCATGTATCTTCTTTGAGAACGAGCTACAAAATTTCTCCATTATGTGTGATTAAGAAAACAAATTAAATGACAACTTTCGTGCTTGAAAACTTTTCAGTTCACAATAACATTGTGGCCAAAGAATTCTAAACCAAAATAGCATATTGACTCATTTTACTTTTTTTTTCCTGATCAAACCTCGATTGCAACATCCAACAAAGTATAATAAGTCGTTATTCAAACTTGAGAAGAGAAACAACAACCTAATTAGTAGTTTGACTTGGATATTAACTCAACTCCTCAATAGCTAGTACCAAATCCAAGAACTATTCTCCCAAACACCAAAATCAGCTATTGTTCTATCCTTATCTTCTAAAGTAGGATACAATGAACGAAAATGAGAACATACTTCATCATTACCAAGTCGAACATCATTTTAAAAAGAAGAAAAATTATAATCCCATCACTTTTGTCCTTCATCATTGTAACAAAATTAAAACAAAGCAACAAGTCACCACCACTACAGAAAGTAGCCACAAAAACCGCTACTCGCATCCAAGCAAATGCCAAAATTTAAAAAGAAAAAAAATGTCTGAACTCTACAACTTTAACACTCTTTGATTTGTTATTGATAAAAATTAGTTAATATAAGACAATTTTTTTAAAAAAAAAATAAGTAGAACCCACAAAATAAAAGGAGAAAGGAGGTGTTGATGAGAAAAACGAAGTGAAGGAAACAATGATGGGAGAATGGGAAAAAAGAGATGAGAAAGAGGGTGAAAGAGAGGGGAGTAGAAGAAATAAAAGAAAAGATTTTTTTTTTACAATTTTACCCCGAGTTTCATTTTGTTTTAGAATAGTTACTTGGTAACTACCAACAAGAACTAAAACATGAAAAAATCACTTGTTGAATTTATAAATATATTTGGTCAAGTGAGGAACCACATGCCACCTCACACAACCAACAAACCACAAAACTGGGTTCCACATGGATCAAACAAAGATCACATCACTACAATAAAAACAATGTTGGAGGAAATTTGACAAGAAACCAAAATACAATTAAAAACTCGTGTAGGAATGAAAATGTACAATTTTTAAATATAAGAATCAAAACACAAAAACAACCCGAGTATAAACAAATAGTTTTATCAAAACAATTACAATGGATGTTCAAAAATATTACTCACCCCAATCCATTTTATAAAACCCAATTATCTGATTCGTTAGTATTAAAAAAATTGATTAATTTAATTAATAGCATATAACTTATTCTAAATTTGTAACTTTTTCCAAAATTACCTCTAATGAGACTCTTTCTCTACCAATTACTTACTAAAGCAAGAGAAATTCATTAATTATGTTCATTTATTGTCTAAAAATAATTAACATTTTAAATTGATTCTTAAAAAAAAAAAAAAAAACTTCAGATTCAGCTCTTAAACATAAGACACTTCGTGCAAAACAATCGCATAAATAAATTTTTAAGTTAATTAAACAATTGAGATAATAAAATGAAAAACTATATAAAAAGATAATAGAAGTTAATCACTTCATTTAAACTTTTCTTTTTTTACTAAAACCAATTATACAAAACCAAATTTGCAACTGCTTGCCCAAACATGCTATTTAATTGAATAGCTCTCCTCAAATTTCAGACTAATAACCTACTTCAATATATAATCATTAAAACATCAAATAATCCAAAGTCTTCGCAAGCATCTTCAATACAGCCAACTAAAGAAAATAGAAACATTCAATGACTCTAAACTTCCTTTCACGTTCGTTGTTGATTCTCGAAAAGTCCCACATAAAGTTCATTTCTACCTCAAAATCTTGAGATCTCAACTTTGTTTGCCTGGTCTAGGAGGTCCAAAGTAGTTTGTTATCAATCCCATTAAAGAAAACCTGGAGTTCACATTAACATCATGTCAATAGTTTTAACAGTGAACGAGAAACCAGTGTGAAAATTGTGTTGCATTAGAATGGAAATTTAGTGCAAACTATTTAATATCGTGTTCAAGGGATGGCAAAAACAGAAAAATAAAGTACTACAGATCACCACGTGTGTTGTCTAACTATTAATATATTCTCACTTATTTTTTTAGAAATACTTTTAACAAGTAACATTTTGGGAGTATTTTTACAAATCCAAGTTGTATACTTCTAAAAAAGAGGCAAGAGAATATTAACCAACACATATATATGTATTAACAACAGGGTTCAAACTTTTGCACTTACATCACTAGATAATTATCTATACAATACGAAATTAATCAATTTAGCCATTAAATTTAAAGTTATTAATTATTATAAAGAAGTTCAAGTTTATAAAATGTCAAGCAAATAACAAAACTTCATTATTTCATCACACTATATTTTGATGAATAATATGTTAATTAAAACATAAGTAAATGCCTATGACTAAACAACACACAAACAAATGTACAATTTATATGGAATATTATATAAATAAATGATAAGGAAGATAATATCAAATAATTCAATAGTTAGATTTATTAATTTCATATCGTACAGAAAGTTATTAAGTGCAAAAATTTAACACATGATGTTAATTGATCTTGTGGATATATATGATTATAATGATATCCAAGATAAACATTACTTCTGGAGAAAGTAAGAAATGGTTTTAACATTCTTAAAAGGCAACATTCTCCATCCTAAAATGCACCCAAACCTTTAACCCCATTATGTGTGCAGCGAAACATTATAACACAAAGAAAAATGTTATCTATGCTAGGACAAGTCATCAAACTCCTGGGGTTTTGTCATGTCATCTACGTAACATAACCTCATTAAACTGCAATTCAGCATTTTTCAATAGTGGCAAATAAGCTATTTCATATGTTATATGTTACTACCCTACCCTAGATGACCAACTTGAACAGGATATGCTATGTTGGTTTATCCATGTCCTTTGAGTTTTAAGGAGACAGCAAGCCAAGTTTGATTGATGAACACATATGTTGACTCTTCTGTGACAACTTTGGCCGTATAGGATCATTATCAATTGTTGAGGTGGTAACCTGGATTTCCATCAAATGCTACCAAATAGCTCCAAAAGAAATCAATAAGACATTACTATCCAGCTCGTGTCATAAAATCTATGGGTGTATCTATTTCAAGGATTGTTAAACTATTCTTCAGGAAAGTGAACTTAATACTATCACATGTTTTGTACAAGTTTTCTATACATACTTCAGATTGGGGGCATTATTGATTTCTTGGAAAGTAACATTCCCGTGCTTTAGTTGTTTTTTATCCTCGTCGTGATAAGGGATGGGTATGTTGTTTTCCCGTGACATGAAAATGAGAGTCACTTTTTGCCCAACTATTGACTTTCACTCCCACTTCTTTCTACCACACATTCTGTATCCGATTATTCATATTTTGAAAAACATATCCAAAATATTAAATGCTAACCAAAGGTATTTATTTACCCACAAATAACTTTCCCAGTCATATCTTGACAATCTCCTCCTAAATCATTAAATATTAAAATGCCAACTCCTTAAACCAGTGCTCTCCATCTCTAACTGTTGTACTAAATTGCTTGGAAATTAGCTATGTCATGTGTGATGATGTATCAGAACTTAGGAAACAAATACAAGAGCCGTTTTTATTGAAGCCAGTTTTTTTGTTGTATATGCTTGATGTAACCGAATAAGACACTTTCAGGAACATATTTTCAAGTAATATGAAATTTTCCATCACCAGGGCTTCTAGTAAGGAACATCATGGACTTGCATGCAATAGAACATATAGAAGAAACAACATAGCAGGTATAAACAACCTTGAAGCATGCATCAGAAAGTTGTAGGGTCACTACGAACAAATAAAAAGAAATTTAGACATGTAGTTGTTAGTATCAGATTTAATCTTGGTCACTATTTAACAGTCCACACATAAGAATATGGCTATTTGATAGGAAATTGGGAATACCCACATTTGTAAGAAATTAAAAATAATGACTAAGATTTTGATGCACATAAATGACTTTGGCCATAAGTCCTAAAATTATTTTTAGTCAAAGAAATGCCTGTGAGAAGTAGCAGTCCTATCTACCCTGACAGAACCAGATTTGACATTTTTACCCTGACAGAAGCATGTGCACCATTAAAAAAAAAACTGCAGTAAAAGGAATTTACTCAGAAATGATCAGAATTATGAAAGGTTGGATGTGCCCAGCAGAATCGAAAGCAAAAATCAGAAGCTTAACTTCTCTGAGTAATTAAGACTGTTAGTTCACCATAAGGCATCTTGCATAAATACATCATTTAATTATAAAACCTTATAATATATATCCAAATACATATAAAATAATTAAAACAATTATTAAAATCAACTCAATTAATCATAACAAAATACAATAATAAATAATAAACAATGTATATTAAAATATCATAAAATACATATTTTCCAAAATATATTTAATTACATAATTAATTAAAACATATTTTCCCTAAATACTTTCTATAGCAAAATATCATAAAAAAATGCATAATTCTCTAATAAATATTATATAAAACAATTTTGTATACATTCATTTAAAACACCCATAATTATTAAAATTCTCTAAAATATTTTATAAAACTCCTTTAATTAATCAAAATATCCTTTTAATAATTTTAGAGAACTTCGAGTGTTGCATATTCCACTTATCTTAGTGACTTCATTTTCTTGCAAGTGAATTATTTTTGGTAAATATAATTTTCAAATATCATAATTATTCTGATAATATTTTTATAATTGATATATTATAGTTTTTATCTTTAAATTTTAGATAAGATATACCAAACAAAATGAAATAGTACAAAAATTGAAGATAAAAAAAGTTAGATACTTTTTTATTTGAACTCAGTATCTATTTCATTAAAAAAATAAATTTGAAACTTTTATGTTTTAAAAATTTAAACTTCAAATATAAACTACATCTTTAAATAGTTTTTAGTTTAGTTGTTTTATTTTATTATAATAAAATTATCTTTTAGTGAAAAGAGTTCAAATCTCATAATTATTTGTGTTTTTTTTATTTAACATATATAAAATTTTAATTGTAAAGTTTTAGATAATTTTATAAAGTTAAAAAAGTCTTATACTTGTGGGTTAAAATTTAGGTTTTAGGATTTTGGATTTTAGTTTATGCTTTTGAGTTTGAGTTTAGTTTTTAATTTTCTTATAATAAAATTATCTTCTGGTAAACACTATTTACCCACTAGATGTGTTTTAAGCTCAGTTGTCAAGCAACTATTTAACGTGCCTCAGGGTTATTAGCTTAGTAATGATTGAAAATAACTCATAGTCAGTCGGTTTCCATAAGCCTCTTCACCTTTAAGAGCTCAAAACTGGGGTGCTGGGAACCGTTCAGTTAGTAGCCCAATTGGTGAAAGGGCCATCACTTGGCATCCGCCTGTGCAGAAAAAATTAAGAGGCACCTAAAGTAGGGAAATCATTGGTTGAGGGCCTACACAGCCATATCTGGGGGAGAGTTATGTTTGCTCCTAAAAATCCCGGGAAATAAAAAATGAATAGAAGACAAAATATTTGGGGTAATAAATTACCACCGATAAAAGGGAAAATGGTTTAATGCATGTATGTTCACATTATAAATATGCGAGGAAGAAACCCTAAGGGTAGACTTGAGTGCTCTGGGCTTAGTTTGCTGGGGCTAACCATGCTTAGGCAATCTATACCAGAACAAAAACTAATGAAGATGATACACAGATACAAGCCATGTGGTTAAAATGGAGAAATGCATTAAAGGAGGTTGTTTGTGATTGCAAAGTATCTACCTAGTTCAATAGGAAGTTTTATTGACATTTCTAAACATAGCCTATGTTACATTTTGTCCTATAATATCACTAAGAATTTGTTTTTTAATAATGCTCAACGGCATCGTGTGATTCATATAGTAAATCTCACCTACGAATAAGGTTGTTGTTGACTGTTGCTGTTTGATGAGGCCTTGTGGCTATTTAATAACTTTTCTAATCCTTGTATGAATACCATAGGCTATGTTTGGAAGGACAGAAATAGGGGAAGTGATAGGCAATGAAATGAAAAAAGTCGCCAAAAGGTTGTTCTGGAGTTATTTAATAGAAGGGAGCAAAATGGAAAGGGAAAAAATCCTAGTCCCTAAAACATAAACAACCAACCAGCCAATAGAGTGACATGTTCTACTCCATTGCATTCCATTATGAGCGATTCTTTTCCATCCTTTTTTAAACTCCCGAACATATCAAACAACCAAGGGGAGTACATGTGTGTGTACAAACAGACAGCAAGAAATTATTGACTGGAGTTTCAGAAGATTCTTTCATCTACTTATCAGGTTCCAATCCTCAAGGATATTTCAGACCAGATCAAGACAGAGTAATTTTTTTATTTGATCTTATCCCTGAAATTCAAAAAAATTAAAACAAAAATAAAGGTAGATCGTAGCGATTTTAGCTTATTATGCATCAAGCCATGAAAGCAAGCGTCCAAATCTGACTTGTGTGATTTTGCCTACATCTTTTATTCATGATTCAGCCTAGTGATGCCATCCCCTATAGGAACCAATTTCTTACTCTTTCGAGTCCATATAAGTACGTATTAAAACAACATTTATGGAAAACGCACTAGCTCCCAAACCTAACAACAATTTTCAACTTAATTGTTTTTAAACAACGAGATGCGCAGATCTACAAAGAAAACTCGCAAAGAACAAAGCAAAGAAGAACACAAACGAAGAAACAAACACGAAGAAACTTACATCATAGCCATCATAACTTGTTTGAGATCATTCTCGATATTCCGCATGTTGGCGACGGATTGCGCGCAGAATATGAGAGCCAGCCAAGAGCTCAATTTGTACTGAATTCAGAAACAACAGGAAAAAAAAATGATGTTAATGCATCGAAACGAAGATAGCGTAGTGAGATCGATGGCGAAGACAAACCCTGAACATGACGCCGGCGACGCCAAATATGACGGCGATGAAACCGGCGTAACCGACCGGAAGATCCTGCGGCGCCACCTGCGGCGCCACGTAGGGTCTCGCCGCCGAAGGCTGACGGGGATCGTTGGTGTGCGACGATGACATCTCCGATTTCTCTCCTCAGACAGGTGTTGACGAGTTTCTCTGATTTTCACGGTACCTTGTTCTTTAACTTATTTAATATTTAGGCTAAACTCTAATCTATCTTTTTTTATATTTTTATAATAAGATAAGATATAGATCAAACATTCTTTGGTGTTTTTTATTATTATAAAAATTAACCTAAAATATAAGATTTTTTATATCCGATTATTTTATACAAGAAATATATTTAATTAATATTTTTTCTTAATTTGATAAATGATTGATAGAATAAGAATATTTATTTATGTTAATTATTTAAAATATTAATCCATTTATGTTAATTATTAAACACTAACAACTATATTTCACAATAGAGTTTGTAGAAATTTTTCTTTAATCAAAGTATTTTTTTAAAATTATTTTAACGTTTTATCTAATTTAGTTTTTATTTATTATAATTATTTATTAATTAAATTTAATATTTTAAAATAAATTATTAATAAATAAAATAAATTTTATATTATAATATAAATTATTTATTATAAATTTAAAATATAATTTATATGAAATTTTAAATATAATTATATATTCAAACATGATATTTATTAATATATAATTTATTATAAATTTTAATTATATATAATAAATATTTTATTTGTGTAATAGAATACTAAAATAATATATAAATTTTGAATTAACATAATATTATAAAATTAATAAAATTTTATTAGTTATAGTAAATCTTATAAAAAAAATTCAAAGGAGTAATTCTTTTTCTATAATATTTGATTACCATTATTTTTATTCTCATCCACATTTTGATACTTAATTTTAATTCTACAATTATGATTTTTAATCTTATAAAATTTATAATTTTGATCTCACTCTTAAATATATATTTTTTACCATTAAATTTTAACATTGAACATGATTTACATTAAATAAATGACATGATAATTAATTGTACTTGTAAAGATCAAAAGTAAAATTTAATCTAATAATTATTAAATATTAATTATCATGTAATTTACTTAATATCACATTATGACTAATAATTAATATTACAATTTGAACAATTAACTAATTGGACCTAAATTGAGAAATTAAAATTATGAAATTAAAAATTAAGAGACCAAAATTACATATAGATTATTATAGGAGAAAAAAATACAATTTAGCCTTCTAAGTTTTGGAGAAAAAATTATTTATCAAATGAATTCATAATAGTGGTACAATCAATATTTATGTAGTTCAAATATGCTACGAATAAGGAAAATAATAAAAATAATAAACAAGTCTCCCATATAAATAGGGAGGGAAAAAAGAAATGTAACACTCCAATTTTTATAAATTATATTAAGATATTTTAGAAATTATTTTGATTTTTTGTATAAATATTATAGACACCTAATTTCGTCCAGGCATACAAACAAAGAAATAGACTTCTATTATCAAAGCAAGGAGCTCCCAAAGCCTGGGAAAACAACATGATATGACATAAGAAGACTCAAAGCCCAATAAGAGTGATTTAGTAGCCTAGAACGGGCCGTTCTCAAACTGGAACGAATCGTTCCAAACTACTAAAAAGACCTATAAACCCTAGATTGGAACGGCCGTTCCAACATAGGCTATTATGTATAAAATTTGAATCCAGAATGGGTCGTTCCACTTTGGGAACGGGACGTTCCAGATTCACATTTTACCTATAACGGAATTGCCCAAAACGGGTTGTTCTGAATTTGGAACGGACCGTTCTGGTCAGTCTAGACGTCTATAAATAGGTGCGTCAGATACTGCTCTCGGGGATCGAAAAATTCATCCAGAACTCCTTATAGCTCAAAATTTCTCTCTCTCTGTTTGTATTTCTTGAGATTTGTGAGGCTACCAAAAGCATTTCACGCTTCTAACTTCATTTTCTTTTCTACACTCTCTGAATACCAAGGAGAACCAAGAGAAGGAGACCAACCAAATTCTGTTCTAGCTTCATCTTCTGCTTATCAAGGTAAGGGGGCGTGAGAAACCTCGCTCGGGGGTGTGGGAATAATTGTTAGGTAGTAGGATTGACCCTCAATCCCTTGCCTGATAGGAACAGACACTTTATGAAAGTTTTCTGTTTTGCTTTCTGAATGTTCTATTGCATTCCTTGTGTGATGTTGAGTGTAAATATGTGTTTAATTTTGAAAATAAACAAGTTTTGATATGAATTAAAGTGTTCTGTGGGTTCTTGAGAGAACCCTATGGGAAACAGGCAAATTTCTAATATTTTCTGTTTTACTTTCTAAGTTTTCTATTGTGTTTCGTATTTATTATTTACAAAGAAGACGTGTTATCTATATGAAACGTAAAATAGAATGCAAAGACATATGAGAAATTCAACGGATATCATTCTCATTGATTTTTGTTTAGAGAACATTCTTTGCATACTATTACATGTGTCTTCCATTTCTAATGAATGTATGCTAATGTACTATTCTAGGAGATGCATGATATTTATTTTTTGCCTAAATTTTATCATGTTTTTAACTAAGAGTTATAATGCATGATTTTTTTTTGCTATATATATATATTATTTTTTTTTTGAAATAAACTACCCTATATGATGCTTTAGAGTTAGGGTATACATAAGGGAATTAAAATTTTTATCATATTTTTTTTATTAATATCTACTTGTTTGTAATTCTTATCTATTTGAAATAAATAAACACAAACAAATGCAACACGCATATGCTCAAACAAATGTACACCCGCGAACAGTCACGTTTAAATCCTTGGTCTGTGGTCCCTGCAAGAAAAGTGCATTGTATAGGAC